TTTTCGATTTATTGAGAGTCTTACTAGTTTCAAAAAATATCTTAAACACCTCTCTCTCTCTCTCTCTCTCTTAAGATAATTAATTATACTTGTAATTATTTTATATTGTAAGCTAAGTTAAAATTTTAAACATGAATTATGATGGTAAGAATACTAATGATATGCTCTTTAAATATTTGATTTTTTTTATAAAAATAATTTAAATTAGCTTATGCTAATCATAATCAAATAAAGAAGGTGTTTATTTTATCATTTAAATTAGCTTTTATGCTAAAAAAATATTCTAATTAGTTTAATTGGTAAAAATTTTAACAATATATTGTTGAGTCTGTATACTAAAAATTTAATTTTATCATTTATTTTTTTTAAAAAAAATTATAATTAAATAGTTAACTTTAGTTTGTTAAAGATTTTTGATAGTAAAAAATATATGCAGAGGATAAAAGCATATATATATATATATATATATATATATATATATATATATACATAAAATCCTGAATAATTAAATAAGTAATATTGTCAGTGAATTAGAATATTAGGATAGTGTTTGTGAAAATATGACTTTGTAGAGAAATTAATATTTGAACAAAATTTCTGTGTGGATAGTGGCTTGCAATGCAAGTGGAGGGCTTTGCTCATTATTTTGTTGAGATCAACTTTATTTGATCAAAATTTAATATTCTAAAATTATAAATACAAAAAATCAATTTTTTTAATTATGAAAATATTTGTGTTGTTTAAGAAATTATAGAAGTAAAAAAAAAATGTTTAGATACATTTCCATCAATTTGAGACAAACTTTTAAGTTTTTATGGGGAAAATAATAATGAAATCAAGTAGTTTTAATCTAAACTTGAGAAAAAGGCAAAAAATCATATATAAGGCAACCAAAATATTTATTTATCTTTAATTCAGGAAACATGACAAACACAATTAATACCAAGCGGGCCCTAACAATTCTTCAAGTCTTCTTCTGCCCTTTACTCTCTCTCTCTCTCTCTCTCTCTCTTCTCTCTTTGGATGCTGCAGGGGGAAGACTACAAGAAGAACTTCCTCGTCAGCCAAGGAACCACCCAAAGCTGCGGTCTTTCGCCATTAAGTACTCTTCTTAGATCACTTTTTGCTGCTCTTCTATGATTACTTTTGCATCTAGCTTGCAGAATTCAGGGGCGGCGTTTGATCCCTGTTAGGGTTTCCAAGGTTGGGGTTGGGAGACTTCGAAGGGATTATCATTTTATCAGCGGATGCCTAATCGCTTCCGATACCCTAAAAATCCCTCCTTTGATTCCGTGCTGGGTTTTTGTTTCCTTTGCTGACAGAAAGATTGGATTTCGATGCGGTTTTGGTGATCTTTACCTGTTGTTTAGAGCCTTCTCACCAGTTTTATGTTCTTTTCTTGTTACTTTGGGAGCCAGTACTCGATTACTTGCATGGGGCCTCTCTCTCGGGCTGTCTGTTGTTACTCTGTGGCGAGAATCAGACTTTTTTTAGCTGGGCTCCGTCGAACTTCCTTTCTTTAGGGGAAAGATTCGATCCTTTGAATGAATTGTTGCCCTTAATGTGATTCCTTTCTGTAGGATTTGGTCTGTATGCTGACGCGATATTGGAGCTGTTGGTGTTTTATCTATCAAGTTGTCATCTTGAAGTGGATTTCGTTTCATTGAAAAAAAAAAAAGAAGTTATGTTTTCATTTTTGCGAATTTCTCATTCTGGAAAGTCATTATCTTTTTTTCTACTTCATTAGGATGTGGCCTTTCATCTTTGAATTTTCGTTTCCATGGTTACCTAGTTGGTTTGTGCCAGATTAGTCAGTAGATCAAGCTTTGGTAATTTTTGATACGATGATGTTCATGTCTCTATGTTATCCAGTTTCTTGGTAGTTTCCCTTCTGATAGTAAATAATATGTTTTCATCATCATGAATCCAGGACTACCTCGTGTATCTTTTTCCCTTCTACAACTGTTTTCTTTGCAACATGCATGCATCATTCTGCTTGTCAACTAGTTCTGATGATTCAGTTCCCAATTCAGGCACACAGTTATCCACTGCATACACTGATGGGCTATTCAAGCTACAAGGTGGATGGTGGAGATTGACACCAGATACATGGAGCAAGTTTCATGTAATGTTGTCTAATAAATAAAAGAGCGAGCGGCTGTATTAATGGCATCTAGCACCATTGGCGAACCCGTATCTGAACCTGTTGGCCAGGATGTTGGGCTGGCTTCTCGACGACCTTCACCTTTGCAGATACCTAAGCCAAGCAATCTAGAACATAATACAGCAAGCAGATTGCCAAAGTTGGTTCAGGAGGAGACATCAATGCATGGAACTACTGAGGTCTTAGAGGGTCAAGAATTACATCACCTTGATAATGGGCCTATTGAACCTTCAATCGATGGGATTTCTTCAAAGAAAACTGAACAGTCAGGGGCTAGTTACTTGAATGCAATCTCTGATGATCTGAAACAGTTAAGTGTACAAGGTGAGCCCTTGGTGCTACCTCGGTTGAACGAGACTGTAAGCTTGGAAGCAAATAGGGGTACAGAAAAGGAGAACTCAGAGCGACACAGCGTGAAAGAAAACTCAGTTTCTACCAAAGTTAGTGATGGCACCAACAGTCTAAGAAAGACTAGTGGGTCTGCTAAGATTAGTGACCGGGTTGAGAGTGGCAAGAATAGTATGTGCAGGGCCAGTACAAGCAGTGATGTCAGCAATGAAAGTACTGGTAGCAGCATAAGCAGCACCATTAACAAGCCTCACAAAGCAAACGATTCAAGATGGGAAGCAATTCAGGCTATCCGGGCTAGAGATGGGGGTTTTGGCTTAGGCCATTTCAGGCTCCTTAAGAGATTGGGCTCTGGAGATATCGGCACTGTTTACTTGTCAGAGTTGACTGGGACCAAATGCTATTTTGCTATGAAGGTTATGGACAAAGTATCTCTAGCTAGTCGTAAAAAGCTGCTTAGAGCACAGATGGAAAGGGATATATTGCAATGCCTTGATCACCCATTTCTTCCAACATTGTATACACACTTTGAGACCGAAAAATTCTCTTGTTTGGTGATGGAATTTTGTCCCGGAGGAGATCTGCACACCCTTCGGCAAAGGCAACCTGGAAAATATTTTTCAGAGCAAGCAGTCAAGTAGGAATCTTGTTGATATTATCATTTCTTCTCCACATAATGCATGGACTGATAAACTGTTTAGTCTGCTTATTCAGAATGTTCCTTCTATTTAAAAGTTAATTTTGCCATCTTTTACGGTTTTATGTGTTTTGGAGATAGTTTCTGGTTCACCAAGAAAAACAGTTTGTATTAGGTTAATATTCTTTTAAGGAAAGGAAATGATTTGATTTCAATGAAATAATAGGTTGTTAGGTTGTTAGAATGTGAATGCAAGTCTAAAGCAATAACCAACTTGAGTTTTGTAATCATTACTTTTCACTGTTACAAAATTCAATGAAACTTGAACAAAATGAAACTTTGAGACCATGAGTAACAAAAACCACTTTCAAGTAGATGTAAGAATCATCAAAGGATGTATTGAGCAAAGAACATATTGTTAACAGTCTGGATTGCTTGTAACAAAAATATAGGCTTACTACTGTGCCAATGTTTTTGTTCAGTTTAGGAATTAGATGGACTGATTTGGTGCCTGCCTTATTTAACTACTGTCCCGGTTGAGTTACATATCTTATACACAAGTCTATAATCGATGTCCTTCTGCTAGATATCTGGTTTAACCTAGTCTTAGGAAGATAAATGATTAAAAGAAAGGAAAAACGTTAAGGTTTACAAATACACTATTCACCTAATGACACTTTACATGGATATATGAACGACTGTGTGCCTAAGGTTTTAAATCTTAATTGCACTGATCAGGTGTAGGTCAGTATTTATGGCCCGACCAAGCATCAATACCAAAATATATAGCTCGATATTGGTACAATATTATTCTTTTTTATTTTTTATTATATCGAATGATACATACCTATATCATACTGATCCAGTAATTTACCAAAATCGGCATCAGACTGAGATCTAAGTCCTTGCATGTGCCTTCACTAAGTTATTTGGCTTATCCATTCCTTCAATGCCTATCTTGTATTAGCACTAACTTTTGTCCAGTGGCAGTTTTTTAATCATAATTAGTGCTAAGGGCACTAGGCTGATGTGTATGTATGCTTTAGTATGAATACCAACAATATGGGATCATGATTAATTAAAAGTTGCAAAGGAAAGTTGTTTAATCTGGAAACAATTATACCTTATCCACTAAATGAGGGTTAACAAGGGATAACTGAATTTAGGAACCTTTACCACCAAAAAAGGAACGTGTTTATGAGGTACCATTAGAGATATCATAAGTTTGTTCATCCTAGGTCCTATGAGATCTCATCACCACAACTAGATATGAATATTAAGCACCTACCATTATGCATATTATATTTGGTGCCTCATAAAAAGGTTTCTTTGTTGAATAATTTCCTCTCTTTTCTTAATGAGAATTACATTTTTTTTTTATTGTTGCTCAACATGACTGAAATTAGTATTATGATAAAGCATCAATAATGAATCTTCAAATTTCCACTGACATGTTTATGAATATGATTTGTGACATTTTTCTATTTGTTTTTCCACAAATGCAGGTTCTACATATCAGAAGTCCTCCTAGCTTTGGAATACCTACATATGCTTGGTATCATCTATCGTGACTTGAAGCCAGAGAATGTCCTCGTTCGAGAGGATGGACACATCATGCTCTCAGACTTTGACCTCTCCCTCCGTTGTGCTGTCAGTCCCACCCTCATCAAGTCCTCCACTCCTGACTCCGAGTCCTTCAGAAGAAATAACCCTGCCTACTGTGTCCAACCTGTTTGTATCGAACCATCCTGTGTCCAGCCTTCCTGTGTGGCCCCCACAACATGCTTCTCCCCTCGACTATTCTCCTCCAAGTCCAAGAAGGCGCGAAAGCAGAAGCTTGAGATCGGAAATCAGATTAGGCCATTGCCTGAGCTTATCGCAGAGCCTACTGATGCCAGGTCCATGTCATTTGTTGGCACTCATGAATATTTGGCCCCTGAGATCATCAAGGGAGAGGGCCATGGCAGCGCTGTGGACTGGTGGACCTTTGGTATCTTCCTCTATGAGCTTTTATTTGGAAAAACTCCCTTTAAGGGATCTGGGAACCGGGCTACACTTTTCAATGTGATTGGTCAGCCCTTGAGGTTTCCGGAGTCTCCAGTTGTGAGCTTTTCTGCTAGAGATCTTATAAGGGGATTGCTAGTGAAGGAGCCACAACACCGGCTTGCTTATAAGCGTGGTGCTACGGAGATAAAGCAACACCCATTCTTTGAGGGTGTTAATTGGGCCTTGATTAGATGTGCAAGCCCTCCTGAGGTCCCAAAGCCCATCGTGACTGAGCAGACCATGGGGCCTGTGGCATCAACAAGCCAAAAGGCGAAGACCTCATTCAAAAAAGGTTCAGATAACTATCTGGAATTTGATTTCTTCTAGTACCATATTCTTAACTGGTTCAATTTGTTGTATTAAGGCAATTTGTAGAGTTTCTAAACATATCCTAGAAGTGTTCTCTTTACAGGTTGCCATTCTGATTGTATTTCTTTTCTCGTCCTAAGTTGACTGTTTCAGTTGTAAATCTACATTCAATGGATGCTGAGGTGTTCTCATCTGTTGATGATTATTAATTAAGGCCTGGTTATCTTTTGATATTTTGGCCGAAGTTGACACTTCATTTGGCTTTGTTCATCAAGAAGGATCCTTGTGCTAATGAACTGTGGATCAGAACATTTTAGACAATTTTATTAGTAATTTGCATTTATGTGGCTGAGCATCTTGGAGACTGACGGTGATGAGCCAAAGGTTGAACAAATTTTTATGTTAGATTTTTAATCATGGCATCTCAACTCATGTTTAAACAAGGCTACAAGGGTGATCTTGCTAAAGGCATCTAGGTAAAGGAAAAACCTTTTCATCCTTGCCTGATATTGCAACAAGATGCCTGCTATACTGCCTTCTTTCCTCCACAGGTCTTTATTAATAATTGGATATATGCTGTTTTTTTGGCTGATGTTTTGGATGGGGGTTTACCTTCTTGATAGATGTGTCAGCTTGAAGGTATTCCTTTTAAAAACTTAATTTTTAGTACAATTGACTCGCGCTTATCTACATTCTAGTTAAGCAAAGCACATTTACATGTTCACTTTATAAGTATGAATGATTATGTGCATGCAGACTTTTATGGCTACAAGACCAAGTGTCATGGACACAGCTTCTGTTTGGAGATCAAGCAAAGCCATGGAACAATGAAAGAAGCTCATCAAATTTTATCAGTTGGAAAAAGGTTGGTCTGGTTTTACATCAGCTGTTGTCTTGTAAGGTACATGTGATGGACATGAATTAGATTCTTTGTTCGAAAACTTTAAGTACCCAAAATTTTTGGCTTGATTTGTATAATGAAATTGTTTATGGCTCTTCATTATGAAGCAAAAGATTAGACAGGCTAGAAGTCAGTACATACATGATTTATGGTTTTGTTGAATTAAATTGTTAAAATATTAAAGCTTTTTTTCCTTAATTTGTTATCTATAATTTTTTTAATATATCATATATATTTTCATACAGGCATAAAGTACATTTCTAAAGTATAAAAATGCATGTCCGTATCTTATGGATTTTGCATTTGGAATCATTATGATGAGATTTCATTTAAAAGGCCCATACTCTGTTATTAGATCTTTTTGCAAACCGACTGTAAATAAAAGTTGTAGTGGCTCTTTGGAGAGAGTGTTAGCTTCTCTTTTCTCTAAGCATAACTATATAAAGCATTTGCTTCCAACTATCAGTTTTTAACTGCATATGATTCCTTTGCCATCATCAAGCTTTATAGAAGACAACTGAGGGGAGTACTTTAGTTCTTATTTTTTTCAACCAAGAGCTACCTTAATCTCTTGTGGTGACTCTCTTATAGATCGGCTTTCATTGCTATATTTGTGTTCTTTATATTGTCATCTTATGAACATGTTCAGGATATCTTAGATTAAACCCAAAGAAAGGAGAATGATGCACTTGGTAACTGAGGGCAGCACAGAGCCTTTTTCAAAAGAGGTATGAGCATTTTCTCATCATACATTTTACCATGTAGTTTAACTCAGCAATTTCATAATGACCCTAACTTGCACATATCATTTCATAACTCTGGGCATTTAATATCAGGATGAAGTTCAATTGCTTACATGACAAGATAAGTTTCAAACTAACACTGCCATTATATTTTCTGACAAATCTGCTTTAAATACTTGTAGTGGCTTGCCTGGATAGAAGGTGGCTATGTGTATCTGTCTGGGTGACATTAATAAAGCAATGGCTATAACATTAATAAACCACTAACAATCATGTGGTGGAGGTATAAGATCATGTTACACTGAACTGGTGAGAGATACATTTAACAACATTCTTTATGTATGGTTATCACTTTCCTTTTGAGAAAGGGAGATGTGCCACCTTGATATGGAGCTGATCTGGTGGCAGGAAATATTTCTTGTGGATATGAATTTCATGTTGAGAGTATCAAGCATGACTTGCTTTGCCTGCAAAGAACTGATCTGAGTTGGTAGTTTGATCTTTTTGGGGGGAAAGAAAATGATAGAAGGTTGTGTAAATCATAGAAGAAACTCTCTTGTTAGAAATCTAATCTTCCACAATACTCCAAGCTTGAGAATTTCTTCAAATCTTATACTATGTATTGGATTGCTTTTAAAGCAGGCCCATCGTCATTGGATTTCTTCAAATCTTATACTATGTATTCTAATGCCTAAAGTGCCCATTGTCATCCCTCTTCCTCCCGATAGATATTGTCGGTCATCGTTTTTATCCCGCTATGGTTGCCTGTCTTCTTGTGCAGTATGATAGTTTTCGTCTATCGTGATCGTGTTACTTTTGTCTCTTTTTCTTTTTTTGAGGTTCGATCGTTTTCGTCTTATCACATTATTTTTTTTCCTTCGGGTAAAAAAAAATAAACGTTTCTACTCTTCGTCAAGCTTCAACTGCATAGCATTTGATTAGTATGATTTATGTCATAAGACTTCGATGCGCCGTCATCCATAATGTTAATGTTGTGTCGGGCTTTGCTGACTTGCTACCGACCGATCAGATCATGGCTGTCGCATAAAAGCATACCCCAAAAGGTGGCAAAAGCTTCGTATTTTCTATGTCCCGAGGATTGGGTTATTCTGACTATGAAATAAATGTGCGTGGCGGTGGGCCCTGTGAAAGCCAGACACATGTAATCTCATCATCAGCCGACAGTCATCTGCATCATGCGTCAACAGTGGTAGTACCATGGATATCTCTTGTAACATTACCATACAGAGATCTTAAGATTGCAAGGTGTTGAGAAATAACCACGGTTAAATCTAATCTTTTATAACATATGATGTAAGGGTGATTAGAAATCAATACCATGGAGGTTCTATGACATAACTATATGGAAATCTTTTATAACATTACTAATTACATCTCCCTTTACATCACCTCACACCACTGATATTAATTAGCTCTACTCGCTTCATAGAGATGGAATCAATTTAGATAAAAAAAAGGCAGAAAAAAAGGCAAAGCTTTGGCCAAGGTTTAAAGAAGTTGCCTCTCGTTCAGCTTGACTGAGGGCTCACCTTCTTACACATGTTTTGACTTTGATGATGAATTGCAAGAACAGCCGAATTGCATGCACGAAATAATAGAAAAGAATAATGCAGAAAGAAGCTTGGAAACACTGAAAAGAAAGCTCAATTGATTATTGATTTGAAGTGACAGCAGCTGCTGCTATTTACAGTATGAGATGGGCAGCTTCGAGGGTGTCTAATGTGTACCGAAGCAAAATAAAGAAACAGAGATGGTGAGAATATAATCATGGAAATATGCTGTTCGTTCTTGCAAACATTCGACCCACAACGGAGAAAAGGAATATCTCCAGATGTTGTTCTTGATTCTCGAGTGCGTATCACACGGCCCAGACTGTGCATAGCTTCATTAACTGGGGGATTGTTTCAGGGTCAGGTTGAATGATTCGAGAATCGACTTCTGCTGCTCTTAGAGTGCGGCCGAGTGAGATCTCTGGACCGTACTCTGGAGTAGCGACTTCATGTTTCTGCTTTTGGAGTCTGCAACAGTGTGGTGCATGATTCAATTAACTGTGAATTGTCCAGATAGTGGAAAACACAGAAAGCTTGCATAATAATTAAATAAAGCAAATGGATTGAGAATGAAAAGAATTGGGTTAATTTGTCCTAACCCATTTATGTTGGACCCTACTTTATGTTTAACTTCTAAAAGGTGGCCTATCTAGGTTAGCAAAAAAGAAAAGGAACTATTTTATCCCACTTATTTGGCAGAACTATTTTATCTTGGCTACTCGGATGAACTTCTTCGACAGGGTTGATTTAACCCTCAACTACATTACATTTGGAGGTCAAACCAATACCTACCAACTTAATCTTCCTAAACCCTAAACCAAATGCAGCCTTACCAAACAAGCAGCTAGACAGAATTTTGAATTCCAACTATGCCAGTTCTTTAATCTTCGTATTTTTCAAGTTGAAGCCACCAATATCATGGTATGCTTTCATCTCCCATCCCCCACTTGTTCAAAATTTTTTTAAAAAAATTGGACATAATAGATGAAACATCAAAGGTACCAACATGGATTTTTTTTTTTACAAAGGATATCAACCATAATTTTACGAAAAAGAGCAAAAATGAACTTATTTGCCATCAGATCCTAAAAATGTGTTGATAACAAAAACAATTCAACTCACCTTTACATAGCAGAAAGAGATCAATTCCTTGGCAACTGGCCAAGGACTAGAAGGCTTAACCAAAACCAAAGCCTTCACTAGCTTCATGGATTGCAAGCAGCAGGCGTTCCTCTAATTGTTCCCTAGAGGAATATTCTGGTAGATCTAATTGGTTAAAACTGCAAAAATATATTGGACATAATTAGAAAAGGACTAATTAAAGAAGAAAGCAATACTTGATTATGCTTTCCAGTCTAAATGATCTTTAGATCCTTGGAAGCAAACAGCATATAGGCATTACAATACTTCAAGAACAAATACTCTACAACAACTCGTAAATTTTACCAGGTATGTGCAGAGGGCAGCCTTTTGGGAGTACCATATGCCTTATGAATCTGAAATCGCTGGGGACCAGATATACCCTGTAATGCTTTAAAGCCTTCTAAGGGGACCTGAATAGCCACCAAACAGTAACTTAAATGAGAATTAAGCAAAATATTATGAATAATGAATTCTTTTTCCTATGCCACTAGGTATCCTATAACACTAGATTGATCTTTTTAATCCTTGTTAATCTTTTGATTTCCACATCACAAGAATTGGTCAACATATAAGGATTTAGGGTGTACACATTCTTACACTATAGTAATTCTCTTCAATGTTGCCACCTCATCAAAGTGCGATAGTTCAACAAAAGACTCTCGGTATCATAATTACAACCGATTTGTTGTGTAAATGATAACTAGTTAGCTGATGAATTGATTATATAGTTGTGTTCCTGAATTCTGTTCTTTTAGGTTGTGTCAGAATTTTCAGCATTTGGACAGTTGACACTCATGTTTATTTGTTAAGAGACGATGCTAAGGGGCATTTGGTTACTTTTGATGCTAAATGTTTTCAGTTAGGATTAAAACAGAAATGCAAATGCTAACACTTGCAACTACAATGCAGTTGTTTGGTTGGCCTGCATCTACGATTGTAAGATGCCACTTTTCTTTTGTTTGAATGCTCGCATTTGCATTGCAACATGCAAATGAAAGTGAAATGCAATGCTGTCATGAGAATCCCTAGGCCTGCATAGGAATATTGCCTTGAGATATTTAGCTAAGCCTCCTCCAACTAGGCACCTTGCACTTTTTGAGTTTTAGGCCAAAAAGCAGCTTGAACACCTAGATGGAACCTCAGAAGCTACCCAGGGCCTTAAGGCCTACATTTTTCTAATAACTGTCCATTTAAGTTAGTTGTTCTTACAAACTTGTGCCATAAAAAGTATCAACAATGTATGCATTTGTTGTTAAATCCTACTTATTATGCTTCTTTTTAGCCAAGATCCATGACAGTGTATATTAATTGTTATAATATGTTTTATTATTTTTTCTTCTGTATATATTTATGGCAATATTTTAAGTAGTATCACTGACAAAAAGGATATCAAAGAAGAAGATCTAACTGGCCTTAGGATTACAATTGAAATATCCACAATGAAACAATGAACACTAGAGAGATTCTAAAAGTAAATGGTAGACTACATTGATGTATCAATTTTATTTTTTTGAAAACATATGGATTTTCAAGAAAGATGCTTGTGCTTAATTAATTAAAATGTTTCAAAGGTACTATTTGGATGCCCGCGTATGGGCCTAGGCCTTTCAAAAGGCTAACACCTATGACTGTCTGTACGTTTTAGCAACTTGGTGAAGTGGAGATGTGGTGGTGGGAGGCATTGCAGCAGGGACTTGTGATGGCTGAAGGCCATGTGCAGGGTGGCAACACCCCTGGGCAGTGGCGGGAAGGTGATGGATGGGTAAGAGAAGATGGTGGATAGTGGTTAACAAGTGACAGGTGGGTGGGAGGGTGGCGGTGGTGGTGGTGAGCTGTGGAAGTGACATGGTGGATGGTGGCATGTTGCTGGAGGTGATGTTGGTTTGTGATGACAGGTGATTTTTACGAGTAGGGTGGTGGTGACGATAACAGTGGCAGCAGCCGGCAGTGATGGTGGATGGGTGGCGGCGGTGGCAGTAAGGTGGGAAGGGTGATGGTTATAGTTACTGATGATGGTGTTGGGGTAGGGGGAAGGATACAAGTGGTTTGCAATTTGACTTATCACTGTTTTGTTTATGAGTCAAATTGCAGTCAAAAGCTCCAAGTTCCAATTTTAGTCGCACACAAATAAGCCTTTTGCTGGCAATTAACCACTTGCAAGTAGTAGTTCACCTACAAACGGCTTGCAGCATCCAGACTTTACAGGTAACCAGACAGCCACTAAGATACATTGCATGTCCAAGACTTTCTTCTTGAATTCTAAACTTTTGTCATATATTTTAGATGCCAACAAAAACTAGCTAAAGTTAATTCATACCTTATGTTGTTCTTTTATATCTTAAATCGACATTCATAAGCTCAATCTTACTTGTAGAAATTTTACGCAAAATGTAGTTCTATTTTTCCAATTGCTAAACAGAATTGAAAAATCAATCATGATATTCCTAAACAAATGAAACACAATTCTAAAACTGGTCATAATATACCTTTGATGTTCCGGTTACAAATTGAAGTAGTCTTGCCATGTCCTCCTTGTTAAAGGATTTAACAACTTCCCAGAACCATTGAATGACAATAGATGCAGCTGAGTATCCAGTATACTCAGTGTTGGCTTGCAAATCATCAACTGCACCAAGAAAAATGAATTACATAAACGAAGGGTAAAACAATCCATTTTTCGGTAACCAAAAAAGTACAAACTTACTGTCAATTTCTGGAAGCCCACTTAATAGGAGTTCAAGCTCCTTGTCATTGAATATTGAGACAAGTTCCCTAGGAACTAATTCATTGAAGCCTTCTAGGAAAGAATTAATTTGAGGACGAATAGCTGTTGTCAATATGTGTTCAGCCACGAGGTCCACATACTCATGCTTAGTTTCTTCAGTTACTCTGATATTCCTTCCTCCAGGGATAAGCTCATAGTCAGTGACCTTCATCAAAAGTATTTACCGGAAAGAACATAGTCAGTAGGAATGCATAAATCAGATCAAACATGATTTTAGTTTTCATTTTGTGCTTGAGCCAATGGCCATGCAAATATATTTTGTTGGTTTTGACAGATTTTAGGTGCAGTTTCAGCTAGTCTGGACAGAAATTTAAATCTTGGTTCTACGCCAAATATGGTGAATTGCAGCACCAGTACTGTACAAGAATATCAAGCCATATACCAAACTGTAACATCCATCAACCTAAGCTCAAGGACATTCTACGCCATAGGATAAGTGAACCATCATTTCATCACAGAACAGACCTCTCTCTGAAAGAGGCAATCATAAAAGACAGACTAAAAGAGGCACGAAATTGTTAAGAGTCCCAGTGATTCAATTTAACTTTTTTTTTTAATACATCAGACACTACCATGCACGTTTGGTTTGGCAGATCTAGGCAACCTGGTGTAGAACCAAGTTTTAAATTGCCAATACATAACCTTTAATATTTTCACAAAATGATTTCATGTTTAAGATAGAGAGAACAAAAAAAAATAGGAACTAATAGGTATGAGAACTGTTGTCTTAATTTCAGAAAGAAATGACCAGCACATAGATGCTGCTGGATCAAAGCAACTGAAGATTGCTGCTATGAGAAAATTGAAGGAAAAAATACAACCAGCATAACTAACAGTTTTACAGGGAAAATAGCCTGTCTTCTCTGCTGTTGTGAAAAAAATTAGAATAGAAAAAGATATGGGGATTTTCGAAAGATAAATAGATGAGATGGTCTGTGGAAAAAAAAAACATAAATGTAGGGGTAAACAATACCAAAAATGAGAATCTGTCTCCATAAATGGATATTGCAACCCTTTTAACAGTCCAATCCTCTGAATGGTCAACTCAAAAATTATCCGCTGTTACTAGTTGTACCACTATTCCAACTTTAAATGGACTCCATCTGAGATGTTTTGAGCCCTTTTAGTTTGCAAATAAAGAATCTGAGGAAAATATACGAGTACCACTGGTTCCCCCAAAAGGAAAAAAACATAACAAAACATAAAACAGACAATTGAAGATCCTTATCTAGACCAATTTGAATTAACCTAACAGTAAGCACATGATTTTTATCTAACATAAATATATACAGGTAAAATCAGTTTGTGATACCGAATTCAAAAATATAGCAAATTCGAAACTTCAATTTTCAAGTTACCTGGTTTTTTCCATAAAGGATGTGTTTTTCCTCATCCGCATCTATGCTGAATGTCAAGTCTGGAATGTCGCTTACATCATTCTGTTTAAAACAATAAGGGATGCATATATTAATCAAATAACAGTCAATAGGAAAATAGAGAGAAAGTTGATACATACCTCAAGCATCCACTTTAAGTTCTTGTAATAGTCAGGATCAACAGCCTCTATGTCATGATAAGTCACTTTTACACCAAGAATATGCTTGTAAAAGGAACGGGTGAAGTACACATCCAACAGTTGCCCATCAAATAAAGCTTTGGCGACCTGCACAAAGGACAGAAACATGACATTATAGAAGCTTCAAAGAAACAACTGATGAAAGATTCAGTAATCAAATGAAAAAGAAAACAGGTTCAGAAGATAAATACCAAACGACCCACAAATCTGAAATAAGAAAGATGTTCGGTCTGGTAAGCAGAATTGGGGTTGGGCTGGAAAGTTGAATTGTTCCCAACTGTAGTAAAAAGTAAAGCTCCTTTATCAAAAGTGACCCTTGAAAGCAATTGGTACCATTCCCTGGTCAAGCCACCAGCATCAATCCCTTCCTCTCCTTGAAATTGAACTGTCAAGCGTCCCTTCAAGTCCTGACTGGAGCGCAGTCGCAACTGATTGTAGGAATCCTCCAAGACATAAGCTCGGCGAACACTTATCCTCAAAGGAACAGCAAAGTGCTGATCATGCTGTTGCCTGATACGTGAGCGAAAATATGCCCTTTTGTTGTCAAAATCAATGAGCCTTGGAAGTTTTAACATCATTGAAAGTGACTTTTCAAGCAAATTTGGGTTCTGTCTGATGAAGACATTAAGAAGGCGCCGATGCTTCTCAGCAATCCTTGCAAATGTCATGGTGCCCATTCCAGTGCACTTGTGGATAGGTGACGATGAGCTCCCAGCAGATTCTTTGACTTCTCTTGCAGTAACATTGCTATCTGGCTGCCCAATAATCTGATTTGTTTGAAGCTTTTCACATAAAAGAAAAAAAGCTTCTATGTATGGTAATAGTCTTTGTGCAGGAGGAGGGAGAGGCTGCGTAGGGGAGAAAGGACCAGCCATTACTCCAGAATCATGTACTGGTACTGTAAATGAGAAAGATGATGTCTGCCCTATCTGTGTTTCAGTTGCACTTATGCAGTCGCTTAGTGCTTGCCACAGTGGCTCAAGTGATTTATTTAGATTCCACAATATGGACTGTTGCTCATCAGCATTTACATCTTTATTGCAATCAACTGAAGCAAGTACACTGAGTGCTTGTAGTACACGCAAGACTGGAGCTCCAGCCATAGAACCAGTGCCAAGTCCCAACACATTTGAATTCCTTAAAATTAAGAGCTCGGTTATAGCAGAAGAGCTCAAGTGATTAGCTAAATCGGCTAACTCAACTGCAAAAAAATTTCGGTGGGGAATAGCAACCAATGCTATTTTCTTCACTAACTCAGCAGTAAGTGAATATACTTTGTCTGAAAGTCTGATTATTCATAAAACAAATCAGTCAGCTGGTCCAGTAAAAATAATATAGGAAAGGCTAGTCATCATAGAAAAATAAGTTATTTTGACAAAAAAACAACTTCAAAAGATATTCAAGAAACTCATTACCATAAGTAAAAGATTGTTCTTTAAAAATCATTCATTACTGGGGGAAAAACAGTACCTAGTATCAAACAGATCAGAACAATATTCTCAAAATATGCTAGCATTGATGTGTGCTGTTTCTGGGATACAGAATCAGAAGAGATTGGGCAAAATCTTGAAGAAAATAATGCATGGACAGATTCAGATTATCCACGATAAATAAAAAAGGGTGGCCAAGAGCATGAGGCTCCCACAAACAATTGAATGCATTTTCAAGCATTCATTCTTTGCCCAATAAAAGGAAACAACTGCAGGAATGTACAGTCTGATCTAATGTTGATCTATGATGGTTGATCTATACCTAGGAACCTCTTAGTGGAGATTCTCTTTTTTTTCCTAATCCTATGAAATTATTCTTTTGATAACAAAAATAACACACTATTCAATCAGTAAATTAATATGAACTCCTTTCCGTCATTAGAGCTTAAATAAAAAAATAACTATCTCATCAGAGCCAACTTAAAGCAAAGAAATAATCATCCTCCTCTAAACAAATTTTCTTTTATGATTTTATCTAAGAACTTCTTTAGTCTACCTTCCTTCTTCCGTTCCCTGTGCCACCACTATTTGAGTAAACTATTCTTTTTTTTGTTTTGCTTTCCTGTTAAATAGTGCATCTGAATCTACAAAAACTGTTTCACACCCTTAATGATTTCATTAGTCTCTTTGCTTGATATACAACCTAAAGAATAGCCATATCTAATGAATAAGCATGTAGAACTTCTGTTGAGACTTCCCAGATCAATATGAATACTAAATGTTTAAGTTCTCCAAGCAATCACTCTGCTACAAACAGATGATTCCATAAAAAAAAAGAACTGGCCTTACCAACTCAAGATATGAACGGAAGGTGCATTCCATCACATCCAAACTACTTTTAAACCATTGGTTGCTAAATCATTTTTGATCTTAAATTACCACTTCAAAAGACAAATTCTTGATGCATAAAATGCATGCAGTACAGACTTTAAAGGAATCAGACACTGCATGAAAATCAAAAACTAAGTATGAGGTAGTGAAATAACTAAATGGTGAAGGGTCTACTGATTACCAAAGCCTGAGCTCTATAGCAACAGGTGCTCTAGCAGTGAGATGTAAAAAGAGTAGCATTAAAATATGAATGAAAATCTTAGTAAGAATTGATGGCAACAAGGGCTGTATTAGCAATCAAAATAGTTAGAATAAAATTTCTTGGCTAAGGTTAAGTATGATATCTATTCTCTAGCACTGTGCATGAGCAAGTTTTATTTGTACCTTTAAAGATATTTATCTAAGAATAACTATACATGCACAAACCAAACATTTTGCTAACCATCTATCTTCAAGAAATCTTGAAAAGAGTTCACAAAGAAGCAAATTGCATGAAACAGGATAACAGTGCATTTAGCAAAATCTCTTAGGTGTAAAAACATCTTGCCGTCCATGATAGGAATTAAGTCCCCATTCCATTTTACCCCTCCATGCCATGTTTTTTGATAAATTGGATGCAGGAAGAGACAAATCTCTTGGACAGAAAGCCTGAACCTAGTGATGTATCATACATGCGCAAGCAAATAAATATACGATGGCTGAAGATAGTTACCCTTCATGTGCAAGGATATGGCATAAATTGTGCATATCCGATTTGGGAAGCTGTAAAAAAATGTCATGTCGGTTTACAGAACTTTTCAAACTCAAAGATGATGCCTCAGCACTAGGTTTTGGGTTCATCTCCAGACCAAGATTCTGTTCAGAAGTCAAATTATCATGTTTGCTATCGGAAGAAGTTAGAGCTGCTGCCTCTCTCTCAGAACATCCTGGAGCTTGTCCAAAGTGAGGTTCACAATCGATTTCTGAGACAGCATTGTTTACCACTACTTGGAGCAAGCACATGACCTGTACAACAAATTTAAATATGCTGTATGTGTAAGTAAAATTACTATGGAAGTTTTGGCAGTCTAAATTAGGTACCTGTTCAAGATGCACATTGCTGCGCAAAAATAATGGCCTGTCCAGAAGCTTTAGAAGTAATATTAGAGGTGAAAAGCCCTTAGCTGAAGTTTCCATAGTATCCAAAAGGGTATTTGTGACAACAGTCTTCTCTTTACCTTTCTCCCTTTTATTCTCTGAATATTCAACAAGAGTAGATTCCACAGCTGATGATGGATCAAAATAGAAAAGAACACTTGCAACAGACAAATTATTTTTTGCCAGATATGTTAAAATTTCGAGGAGTCGGCGTGTAACAAAGGGAGGAAGACCTTCAAAGAAGCAGAAATATTACATTCCAATAGTAAAAGTAACAAAGAACTGAAAAAGCATATGGTAGGCAACAATGTAAGAGCAGAGAGGTACCATTAGAGTGATGAGGTCGGCCATAGACAACATCCCATCGACATCCATAAAGCCGCTGTGAAGTTGACGCAATTGACTGACCTGGCCCATCAGCTTCAAGCCTAATCATATCAACTAGATGGCTGACCAGAATATTACGGGTAACAGTATGTGCACATAGATTCAATAGAAGTCTTTGAAGAAGGCCTTTGCTGATGGGCTGTCAACAAATAGTATAACGAGAACAAAGGGACAGAAGACTCAATTAATGCCGCCACGTTACTGTATCATGCAAAATTAGTTGAAATAAAAAAAAGTAGCAATAATATATGCCAACATTGATAACATCTCAGGATTAAGGCTAGATAACATTGACAACATCTCAGGATAGCAAAGGTATATAGGGCTGAAGAACCAAACTGTCACAGGGCTAGATATTTTGACACAACTGAACCAAAGAGCTACCCAGCTGGTCCACATCCAAATGGCTAGTCAAGACAAGTTTATATTTAAGGAGAAAAAAATGGATCAGGTCAAATTTAGTTAGTTTAAGTTTTCCCAATTAAACATATGCTTGAATCAAGTTGAATCCACCTGCCAGCAAGTGCAGATCTATTGACCAACATAAAGTTTTAGATTTTTGTATTCAATTGTTCAAGAAGATGAAGAGATTGACAAATATTATTCAAACTTCAAAGTGTGTTTAGAATGGAGGACACTAGGAGTTATGTTTGATCACTGTGTACTTTTTAGATTAAAAACTTAGAAAACAGTTATTAGACCAATGATGATTTATGATTTTGAGTGTTGGACCATTAAAAAGCAACATGTGAAAAAATCCATGTCGCTAAATATGTTGATGCTAATGTGTGGAATTACTAAAAAAAGATGAAAAATGTATTATTATTTGTAAACAAGTAGGCATAGCTCCAACAAAAGAAAAAATGAGAAAAAGATAATCTTAAGATGATAGAAAATAGGGACACATTAAGGAGACATTGTAGTTAGACACAGACAATTAGTATAAATTGCATAAGAGGTAAAGAAGGCCTAAGAAGATTTTACACAAACTCTAGATGCCCAAGATTTAACTAAGGGTATTGCTTGGTATAGAACTCTGGCAAAAGAAATCCATAACTCTGGCAATAGTTAGGAATTGGGACATTACGGTTTGTTGTTATTGTTGTTGTAAGTTGTAACCAAGCCATAAAACCAATGGGTCACTTTAAAAAGCATGCCTCTGGGTCAAGTTAAGTTGACCTGATGTGATATTATATATTTCATGGGGAAACAAACATTCTTGGCTAAAGCACCTTGATGTTTCACAAACATCATATAATATGATAACACCCAAGCAAAAATTTCTCATCAAAAGCCCTGGCAAGAAAGTGAACCCAAATCGTTGGAACCTTGCGGCTTACCATTGTTGTTTGCAAGAAAAGGACCCAAAATAGTTGGGACATTGTGGTTTACCATTGTTTTTTTCAAACCAGTATAGTATCAAACTATCAATACACCGAGTGGTACACCGACTCATACTGATATAACTGAAATAATAATAAAGAATAATATACCAACTTATATTGACCTATATGGCCTAGTAATGGTACTCTTTGTTGTTTGTATTTGAAAAATGTTTTTCCATATCAAGTTAAACATTTCATCATCATTTCATAATTGTGTCTGAAATTAGCTTTTCTCTTGCTAAGCAGGCCAAAATCATCTTAACGACCACTATCAAAATTCCACAGGTTGCCATGCATATTGTGCTGCACAGTGAACACCATGTCAGGCCATAAATAGTTGGAAATCTCTACAACAGGCATGCCACTGGAGTTTGCACGTTCCTGAAGAAATTTTGGCATACATCCATTCTAGAACCAGACAAAAATTGTACTCTAGGTATCATGGCAACCCATAACAAGCATATTTCAAATTACTAAATTCTCCAACCTTGAACAGTTGTGGCAACAAAACACCACTAAATAAACTTGTGAAAACAAACATCTAGATATGTTATCAAAACAGTATCACTCTATAGAAAGTTTTGGCTACTGTAATAAAACTAAACAAATTTCTCTACTATATTATTGATGGATGAATTTCTTAGTCAACCCCAAATTTACCATCTAACTAAGCAAAAGGGACAGTGAATATAACAATGGCAAAGCCATAAAATTCCAACAACAACATATGGTTCCTAAACACAATACTACAGTATGTACAAATATTTACAACATCATACAAGTATCTAAATATATTTGGTCATCCTAATATAAATCATAAATGATGCAAATAACAATTAATCACAGGCCACAATGTTCATAAATTTTAACCTATAGTAACATGTCTGCTGAGGTTTTGAGCTGATCAGATATTCAAACTATCTACAACATGTCATGCATTCTAAATTACTATTACTTATTTTAATTTTGCAACAGATGATGTGGCACAGACTAAGATTTATGTTATAAAGTACACCTACAAGTCTGTACATAGTAAAAAGAAAATATCATCAAAAAATTGTGCAGAGATCATCTTTAACCACAAAAAAGAGATTTTATTAACAGAAAGGAAAGTACCTGAGCTAATCTTAATAGACGAATGAGAGCCTTCATAGCATCTGCATCTAGCAAAGGCGTCCCTTCAACCTCTTTGACCTTTGAAGTATTTGGATTTGGAGAAAGCACTCTTCGACCAATCGTTACTCCCACACCTCTATCCATTACTGTTTGCCTATTAGCAGCTAATCTCCTGCCATCAAGTCTATGGCTGCCCCCAAAAAGGGTGCTTCGATAATGATAGCGACTGTTGTTCCGTCTATCCCTGAGCATTTGGGCCTCAGCGATCAAAGCTGGAGGTAGACGGGACAAAACTGCTTCAGGTGAGGTAAGGAGTACCTGGATTTGGAATAGTTGAAAATAAGCATTGCCTAAAAGAATATCCACAATAATAAATAAAAAGGCAAAACCTCTTCACGTAGTTCAGGGGGGAAAGTAGCTATAATGGAAGCATTGTCCATTTCCACTGGTTGCCCTTCAGCTTGCTGAAACTGTGCATTTCGTTGTACTTGTTGCTGAGCCAAAACTTCAGCTTGAATATCTGGAGGAAGAGCAGCCAAAAATTCAGGATCTATTTCTTCCGTAGGTGGTGGAGCATAAGTTGCAGCTAGGGTAGCTTGAGTGGGCTGGGAAGCTTGCTGGGAAGCTAGAACTTCAGCACGGAGATCCACTGGAAGTGCCTCAAGAAAGGTTGGATCAATTGCATTTGTGCTAGAAGCCTCATTGCTAGAATTTATTCGATTAGCCTGAGTAGCTTGCTCAGGAACTTCTATATTTCGACAAACAGATACTCCACCATTTGAAGGTAGAGCATCATCATATTGATTCTGAACAGCATTTAGACCATTTATGTGAACATCAGCACTTCCAGGAGCTGAACCAGCATAAGCATCACTCAGTTCTTGTATGCCAGAGCCAGAAGAGATGAGGCCCTGACCACCGGAAGGGCTCCCTAGAGATGAATGCACTGGTTCACATTCATTGTGAAATTCTGGATCATGAGAATCATCAAGTATTTCAGTAGCATTTTGCACTGGATGCATAACTGGCAAGGCAGTGGTTGATAAATCAACTTCAAAAACAGCAACCATTGATGTGATAGTCTCACTATTATTATTATTTGTGATATTCAAATTATAAGGAATGCTCTGCCTTATTTCAGTTGTCTCTCGACTGTCCTCCGCAATGGCAACCTGCTGTACAACAATTTCATGGGATGAATCAGGAGGACAAGAATAACCTTCTAATGGTAAATTCACAAGCTGATGATCTGAAATGATCCCTGAGTCTTGCTGTTGGTTCTCAGTTGATAGAGTATCAAGATTAGTTGTTTCAAGCGCTTGGACATTAACATCTAATAGCTGCGGCTGTCGATTAACCTGGTTTGCACACTCAGATTTTCCCATAGCTTGAGGGTTATCAACAGAAATTGCAGCACGCAAGTGAGCCAGAAATTGGTCCTCTACTGCCTGAGCGATTGCAGAAGCATGCCCCCCTGCTTGAGGCTGGCCATCATCAGTCCAACGATTATCACCAGGCCCCCTTCTTGATGTAATATGGCTAAAGTCCATGCCACGTGAAAAATCAATTAAATGTGGGTGTGCAGCACCATCCAAACGGTCACCAAAAATAGCAGCACCAGCAGCATGCTCAGATGGAACTGTAGCATCAAATATGTTGAGAGGAGATGAACCTAAACCTGCAAAAGATGAATTCAAATCTCTGGAAGAGCTCCCATTAGTCGACCACAATGAAGTTGACAGCTCCACTGAATGTGATGGTCTCATAAGTAGGGGATGTCGAAAGGCAGTTGCATCCAGCCTTGAAAGTTCAGAAGTCCTATTACTACCCTGACGACTGTGGTCTAAACCAAATGGACGGTGAAGATGATACAAGTCAGCAGAATCCAAACCCTGAAACGGATCCTCAGCAATGTCAATAAAAGCACTTGCAGTGACAGGTCCCCTCAGAACTCGCAAGTGATCTAAACCAGTCAAACTTTCCCTCCACCTAACTTCTATAACAGGATTATCAGGAAAATGACCATCTTCTCCATCAATCATGTGATCATTATACTCATCACCTATACCATTGTCATTGTCATCATGATCCTCCATATCTGTATCAGCTAATGACAAAGCAGCACCATCTTCTGCGACATCCTCTTCATCATCCTGATCATCATCTTCTTCATCATCTTCAATATCTTCACCAACATCCTCATCCTCATAGCCCATATCATCAATATTCTGGTGATCATCCTGAAAAGTCAATCCAATCTCGTTTGTGTTAGGTGTTCCACCAACTTCTTCCATCTCCTCATGCATAAATTCCAACCCATCATGTGGATTTATTGTTTGATTCTCTTCCACATTTACTCTGGTATTTTGCTCCATACGTGAATCTTGATTTACATCGTGGTTCATCTCATCATGAGAAGATTCAGGATGCAGCTGATCAGCACGTTGACTGGCAGCAGTCGTTTCATAATTTTCATTTTGGTCATTATTAGCATTTTCAGTCCCTGCATTATGATCTCCAGTTCTTCCTCGTGGCAAGGTTGATCTTTTCTTTGCAAGTCCATCCAACTTAACAACTTGATCAGCATTGGCAGCCCTCGTGAGATTTTCCAGAGCCTTGACTATCAGGTTTACAACCTTTGGAGCATTTGGGTGGTCTAAATCGATAACTTGAAGGATGCAGGAAAGAGAACGCGCCATTCCTCCATCTATCATGGCTTTTGCAATATCAGGTGAGCATCCAGGGCCAGGTAAGTTGCTAGAAGAAGAATTTCTAGATAAAATAGAATTTATCAACTCAACAAAAGTTAAAAGTTGCTTGTCAGGTATCAATAAGGATTTAGAGGTATTGGGCCCTTCATCAAGGAAAGATAATAATGCTCTCAAAATTTCAGAAATAACTCGTCTGCGACCCTCAGTAGATTTACCACACAGCACAACCAAAAACCAAGATGCTTTTTCAGAAAGCTTATCATTCAATTCATCTGAAGTTTCAGAAGATCTCTCTGAGGATAATGGAAGTAGATGATGCAATATATGATGAAGAATGGCACTATGTCCGGAGACACCTAATTGACCACAACCTTGCATTTGGAATATTTCAACATCACGTCTTAATAATACACCCACAGCATGTGTATACATGAGAAGAATATCAGTCAACAACTTGAGAACAAATGTCACCTTTGAGAGCCATGCAGATCTTTCAGAGAGATTATCCTTGTCCATCATTATGATTTCACCAATCTTTGATTTGCCCTTCTCCTTCACAACATGCTCATCTATTTCCATGGGAACTGAGGAGCTAGTACCTTCCTCCTCTTTCTTCAGTGAAGGGAGACTTAGAATAATTTCCAAAAGTTGATCAATAACTTGAGAGAGATTCCCAGGAACCCTCTTATGACTCCTGGAACATTTGCTTGGTGTATCATGAAGTCTATTTTCAGGCAACCGAATGGATTCAGTAGATGGAAATCCACCTTCATTTCCAGCAGTTCTCAGTTTGTCCTTATCCTTCTCTTTCTCCTTCCTCAAGACTATGTTTATCCTTCCACCTGATGACTCTATATGACAAATTGCAGCTGCGGCTCTCATAAAAACCGCAGGGTCTCGGGAAATCAGAGGGGCCATGGATGTTAAAAACAACTTAGGTGAAAGACGGCCAGCATGACGGCTATGAGTACCAACTAGAGTCTGTTTCATCTCCAATTCCATGGCAGTCTGTAAAGTTTGGGCGTCTTCAATGAGATGTCGAACAATTACAGATACCAAACTGTCAAATCCAGGGAACACACAAGATTTTGGAAGACCAAAAAGAGCAGCCAAGCCTCCACTTTCAAGAAACTGACTTGCCAAAGCATGTGTTTTTGTTAAGCGTGCAGATAATTGTAGAACAGCCTGCATAACCATTGCTGGAACATGCTGTTTTATGAATTCACAGGCAATGGACAGTGCCCTTTGACTTTCTTCAAGAGTCAAAAAACCAGTAGATTTACCTAAGATTTTCTCAAAAATATCACTAGATTCTTTCTCACAGTCATCTACAGCAGATTCTTTGTCGGTAATAGCTGTTGAATTTGCAAAAGACATACCTGCTCCAGATAAATCAGATAGAGATTTACCAGCTCCATCAGCAGCTCCTGAAATAAATTTGGGTCTGGACTGTGCCATATTATCAACTACAAGCAACAAAGAGCTTACAGCTTTTGTTGCTGCAGTACCATATCTAGACTCATTCCTTGATTTAAATTTGGATAGTATATCCAGAACGACAAGAATGAGACCATTCTCTGCAGCTGATTCCCGAGTGCTACTATCTTCATGAAGAAGTAATGACAGTATATGTGAAATTGGACAGAGTGCACCTGTGTCATCGGAAAAATCTGAAGGACAAAACTTAAGCTGCTGAACAAGAAAAAGAACTACCCGTGGACGATCTTCACTGTTGTTTCTACGACAAAGTGCCAGAAATAGATCTGTCAATGAAAAGACCATCACATCACTACAATGTAACAACTTGACTGACAAGGCAAGAACATCATCTACAGGGGGTGCCTCTTGCTTATTCTCTAAATATGCATTTATCGTCATTTCATTATTGTCTTCTTTGGATGATTCAAATGTATTTCCCAGTGAGAGAGCAAGTGCCTGTGCTAGCTGAACATCCTCCTGAACAATTTCCTCAGGATGACTGAATAACCAATCCATTGCCATCTCAACACTATTGGCGCCCACACTTCTCAAAGCTTCCTCAGCACGAGCCCTAGAAAAACCCATCTCAACTATGGTTGAAATTGCCGATTCATCAAGTGAAGGACTGGTAAATCTTCGACCGGTGCTTCCTATGATATCATTGCGACCATGCTTCACATGTCCAACCCCCAAATATATGTAAGTCAGAATAGAGTTCACAGAAGTAATGAAAGATGGACTGCAATTGGGGAACATAGGGTGGTTCCATATAGGAAGTATTACATCCAAGACTTGTGATTGCAGCATTCGAACAAATAACTCAGGATCCCTTGGCACAGGGAAAAGACCAATTGAAAGCCCTGCGGCAACAGGCTGAACGAGCAGCTGAATATCAGAAGATGAGGCTGAGGATAACAATAATGATGAATTGACATGATATGCTAGCAAGCAGCAATAAGTTTGCAATGTATCCAGCAGCCATGACCTATGAGATACTTTCTCAACACTAAAACTCCCTTGATCTGTCGTGGCAGCCAGAATAGAGAAAGGCAGTGTCCAAAGCAGCTGGCTAGTTGCCTCAAATGTAGTCAGAAGCTCTTTAAATGTTCCATTTACATAGAAGCTGTTCACCAGTGCAGTACTGCATGTGCGGCGTTTATCCACGATAATAGCAACAATATCTTCGACAACTTTCCCAAGATAACGGCATTTCACAGATAATGTCAATTCAAGGCCAGGAGTGGAATGCCCTGGATAACTAAGAGCATCAAGAAAAAGTTTCGCAACAGCTGTCACTAGATTCTTTGAGAAAAGACTGAGGGAACTGGAATCTCCCCGTCGAGCTGATAATCCTTTCACAATGGTAACAAGAAAGGATCGGATTGCAAGACCAAGTTTCCTCAAAAGTTCAGGTACGACAAAATCTGCACTTTTGCTCTTAACATCTTGAATATGGTAGTTCTCTAGTGTGCTAGCAGACCCTTCTGAATCTGTCTGTGATGGATCTAGCTGCCTATAAATTCTTCCACCACGTGCACGGGACAATGAATGACGAGCATGACGGTGCAAAGTTCCAGAAGAATGAGGGATGGAAGAAAGATCACGTTCAGTCCTCCAACGAGATGCAAAACTATTCCTTATAGAGACAGTGTTCATATACTGGACTACAGGAACAGTATTTCCATCATCATCACCATCCCTTCCAGTAATATCAGATGCCGATGCAGATGCATCTACATTGCCAATTTCCTGATTAGCAGCCCGCTGACCATCAGATGAGTCACTACACAAAGATATCTGCCAAATAACTTCCTTGTAAGCCTTGGCAAGTTCTTTCAAAATATCAGCATCTGCAGATCCCAACTCCGAGTTCATAGTGGAGGATCCCTTCAAAAGATTAGTGGAAAGTGACAGCAGCCCCATCAGGCTAGAAAGACATTTCAGCACTTCTGTCTGCTTCAGATGTTCAATCTCAACAACCTTAGTTCCAGACACTGAACTCAGTAGTTCATTCGTGAACTTAAGATGTTCCTTAATAAATGAACATATAGCTCTAGTCAAAGTAGCTGAATTCTGAGATGAAAACTTTTTAAAAGCATTGGATATGCTCTGGCTAACAGAATCAGAAGTGGGCACAACCTGCACTGTGAATAACTTAAGAAGGGCTTCAATGCCCCTTCTTTCAATGAAAATATTGATAGTATTTGCATTCTGAAGAACAGCTTCAAGAAGACGAGAAGCATTGCCAATATATTCCGGAAGAAATGACCCAGAAATCAGTGATGTACCATCAAAAGATGTCTCATTCAACTGTTCTGAGTTCCCAGTGACAGACATTTCACCTTTGCCTAGTGATATAGAGTCCCTTTCTAGGTTAATCTCCACTGGAAGTCGAACCGAAGAGCACTCAGACTCAGTGGAGTAAGACTCTGAACAAGATCCATATCTTAAAATTGTATTGAGGATCTCAATAAGCACATCAACACCAGAAGCACGCAGCAAAGATGAATGACGCATTAATTCATCCAACCCATTAGACAGGACTTCTAATGATTGGTCATTGAGCGCTCTTAAATATGAAGCAGAAGTAAAGATTTTTATCAGGCACCTGAGAGCATTACAATTTTTTACCAGTTGCAGGCCAGTGTTATTCAAACACAGTGCATCTAAGCACTGTGGAATACAACTTATTGCTTCACTAGAGCAGGGTACACCACTATCAATAGCATCAAGAAAAGCACCAGGTACATCAGCAGCAGCAAGGACAGAAAAGCATGTGGGATCTTTGTGTATAATATCACTCATGACATTTGCAGCAAGCGAAAATACTCCACCACCAAATTCTTTTGCTCTCCTGAAAATAATAGACAAGCATGTTGGTAATAAGCTCTCTTCAGATCCATCAACACGGGTGGAGCTTCCAGGAACATATGTTGCAAGTGATATCGTGCGAAGCAATGCTTTTATGAGTGACCGTCGATCATGTGTAACCATGCTTTCTGAAGAAAAACTTTGCCTCTCTAGCTCAGATAAACTGCTGATGATTTGTTTGCCCTTGCTATCTTGCAATAATTTCTCCCCAGTGTCATTTGCTCCTCTCTCAACATGTGTAACTTCAACCTTAAGTCGTGCAATGGCATTATCTAAACCACCTAAATCTCTAAATAATGCCAAAGAAGGATTATGATAATCCAAGAAACCTTCAATTACACGAACTGCAGTACTAACAAGATGAAGGTGCTGGGCACTAGTATCCTTAAGAAGGGGTAAAATACTAGGTATAAATCCTCCTTCCTGCAGAGCCAAAGAACCTGGAGTAGATGAGACCAATATGGATATAAGAGACAACAGTGCTTCAGCAAAAACAATAGAGAATGTCATGGAACCACTGGTAACAGAATCTACTGCCTTCTGCATAAGACTAGGGAGGGTCCCACGATGACCACCAGCGGACACGGAAGACAGAACCATAGGTTGGTAACTTCGATCTTGGTGGAGAGCAACCAATGACTGAATCCCTAAAATTCGAATGTCTTCGGGAATTTCATCTTCATAGCCTAATAAAGATAGCATTTCACCAATAAACTCCGGTGCATTATTAAAAAATGTTGCCAAGTCATCGGCATTATTACTTGCTTGAACAAGAAGATTGAAGGCATACAAGCGGATACGAATGAACTGACGTCGAGCAGTTAAGGAACCAAAAGCTTTCGCAAATCTTAATCTTGTTGATAGGGAAAAGCATAGATTGGAAGGTATGTTGTAGCTCCTCACTAACTTCTGCATAATTTGAAGAACATCCTCATTGTCATTACTGATGCCAGGTAGATGAATGACTTGCCACCCCTGGTTCACATATTCTGTGGTATGAGAATTTTTTGATGATTCGCCAACTGAATAGAATTCAAAATGAAGTGTGGAACCAATATCATAAGCCACTGAATCACACCCATTTGGCAAAGAGCAAGCAACTAATCCAAGCCCATCTTCCTTCCCTCCCCAGCCTTGTGAGAGTGCGAACAACTTCAATCTCAAAGAGGCATCTCGAATATAGCACTTCCCTACTGTTTTTTTCAAGAATGCAGCCAAGGTTTGAAGGCTTGCTTCAACAATATCTGCATCAGTTGAAGCGAGAAGCAAAGATAGATGCTGCTGCATTTGTACAAACAAATAAAATAAGAAAATCATGCATAGCATGTGAAAAAATTGATGGTTTTCACTTAGAGGATTCTCTCATTACATGTTATGACTACAAAGCCTAAGATTGTAGCAAAAGAATTACTCATTGAAAAAAATCCACCGAGAAGATACATACTTCAAATGAACTGTAGAAGTGCTTGTTCGTACAATTATCCAAGATAACTCTCATAACCCGAAGAATCTGAAGAACTGCATCCCTAGGAAATAATGGATCTGCATTAAGAAAGTTGTCTTCAAACTGCAAATCCTTTCTTGGTTTTATGTGCTTCTCAAAAAATGAGTCAAAATGATTAAAAAGGTCGATCCAGTGATGAAAATCTCCCTGCAGACGATTAAGCTAGGACAATCAAGACACTTCGAATAAGAATTTTGTTTACAAGGAAATAAAGGAAGGCCAACCTTATCAAACTCCCATCTGAAGTCCTTTAGTAGTTCTTCTATATTCTCAAAAGCAGCAGAAATGACATTGTTGATAAAGAATGTTATATGTGAAGGCTGTAGTGGCAACAACAACTTATGTATCAAGAGCAACAATCAAAAGTAAGACACTATGAAAACAAGAAAAGAATTTGAAATAGAAAACTGATAAAGATAAGGATTAAATAAAGGCATAGATACATAACGAGAAACTAAACAAAAAGAAATGACCAAGGATTTATTTTTTACATCACATATGAGACCCTATAGAGCACTCTAAGTGTCATGCCAAGCACATGGGCACACATCCTATGCTGGCCAATGCAGGCCATACATGGAAAGCACCAGCTTAGCATGTGCCAGCCCACTCCCTCCAACATGACAAATATTGGAACAAATTGCACAGCAAGAAGTTTTTCCACGTTTCATGTAAATATTCATCCAAAAACAACAATCACCAAGTTCTAAGCATTACACTTTACACATGATATCTGGCAGTCAGTTTGCAACAACGCATTCATACAAGACAACAGTGTCACCGAGCACTTCGCCTCCCTCTCCTATGTTTTTGTTCCAACAAGAACTAGACCATCACTAGGTAACCACAATGTGCCCCATCTAAAAACTAACCATTACAAGATGCCAAGACCTGGCATCAGCTTGAGAAAGTGCACTATTCCATCACATAACCAATTAGAATTTCACGAAAAACTTCCTGTTTTAACATAATGAGTACAAACACCTACATTTGCCTTCAAAAGAATAATAGACAGCTACAAGCATTTTTACTTAACAAAATGTTCAATCCACATCTGAAGACAATTAACAAAAGCAGATATTGATAGACTCCCATGTTATCCAATTACTGAAGAAACAGAATATGAATAGAATTTATCGAGACATCATTAGCAATTTTAGACGATCACAACCTTTGATGAGAAGAATTCAGAAGATACCAAGAAGCAAGAATACCACCCTGAATATGACTATCTAAGTGTTAAATAGACAAAAAAAAAAAACTTGAACTTTCAAAGAGTCACCTAATGGGGCATAATAATACTTCATGAAAGAACAAAAATCAAGGAAATTAAAGTTACATTACTTAATAGGATGCATGTTGTGCAATATGTTATGAAGAAAATATTCTGGAATACTTCTTAATAGCTGAACAAAAAGAACTTATGCACCATGTTGTAACTTGCCCAAACCAACAAAATTGCAAGAATGACAAGTCCCTGAGGATAAATTGACTTGTTCCTTATGAAGCATTAGATAAAGTACTTATCCAATTGTGCTTTGTGTATCAAAATGTTAGACAGTTAAGAAACTATATGTACAAAAGTTGGTGTTCCGAGATTGACAATACAGAACAGACATGTAGGATTACTAGAAACAATAGAAAAAGATAACTTTTAATTCATGAACAATTAAGTATAAATTTGATTGAGGATGAAAGAAAACAGATATCATTTAAGACAACTTAAACAGGTCCAAAGGAGACCGAGAGAATACCCTATGATACCCTAAGACAACCCCCAATGCCATGTGGGGTTTGGCTGTAGATGGTATGTGACTTGCCACCCACCCAAAAAAACAACCTTTTGAGTACCCTTTTTGGGGGGTACCTGACCCATATGGTTTCCTACTTAGGTCGTGACCATGGTTCAAGCTTTCAGTAACGGACTCTGTACTGGTCACCAGCTGAATGGGTACAAATCTGGTATGTACCAACCTACCAACACGTGGTAGGTCAGTGTAGCACTTGGCACCAAAACAGAGTAATAAATTAAAGACGTGGAGTGGGAAGTGGAGAATAAAAGGGGCAAATTACGATGAGGAGGAGAGGAGTACCAGGCAAATGGGTGACACAAGGCTAAAGGTTGAGAGAGACCTAGTGAGTGAGGAAGACATGTATTCAAACCGTAATTACCTAAGTCCAGTGGCACTTAAAAGAAAAGAATGAATTGAACCGGACCATGCAAAAAGTTCTGCTCCATGTGTTGAATGAAGCCCGAACCAATAAATACCGCTTGGTAAGTTACTCACATTTCAATCACTTGTATTCATACCGATGACCAAACAGAGAAGTGCCTGGGGTATTACAGTGGATTCCATGAGTATGTGTGATTCAGTTAATCATGTTTCTGTTGCTTTTTGATTGGATTATCTTTTAGTGGTTCCACTGATCACCAAAGGGTTAGGATTAAGATGCTTTGCTTTACTATATTTATTTTTCAAAATCAAGCTCTGCGCCCATGTTGCAACACTGGACTTCACTCTTGACATAGTTTGTTTCTAACCTGTCTAAGTCCTCTAATGAGATAGCGAATAAATGAGATTCCCACTCACAATATCTTATCCAACTTAATGCAAACAGAAGAACAAAAGATAAAAATATAACAAACAGAAGAGGCATAATTCTAGAATCACAAACCAAGATCAGGTAATATGGAGGGTTTTGTGTCCAGAAAATTAAAGCTCATGATGGCTATGGGAATATTGCTGATGCATCATGTATGGAACTTTCAACCATGTCATACCACATTGAAGTGTCATTATGTACTGAGTGAAACATGGATTTTAAGTCATTCTTAACCCCACTGCTCCAAATCGTAACAAATAAAATTAAATCACTGTTAACCTTAATAACTTAGGTCATAATAGATAATCAACTCACTTTTCATAATCCCCAATGCCTCAAGTCATAAATAGTCAAGCCGAAAGACAAATATACAATACAAATGACATGTAAATATAACTATTCCAATTTCACAAATATTAAATTAAATGAAGGTTCCATTCTGGTACAAGGATAATTTCCCTTCTAAAATCTCAGAACTTCCAACGTAAATCATTTGAATAATTACATGAAAACACACCATTCCAAGACCAAAAGAAGTTCTTGGTGATAAGGAATTACATAAATGATATGCAAGACAGTCATGTTTACACACAAAATCTGAACAAATAGAAGAGCCTTATTTGTATAGAATTATTCACATACATACAAAGTATGCAATAGCAGGAAATAGCATGACTTATTTACATATGCTATGACCAGAATCACCAAAGTTGGGTGTGACCTAGTTACCTATGATATGACCAAATCACCAAAGATATGAATGACTTCTGAGTTATCACAGTTACATGTGACAGTACTATTTCTTAACCGCATAGGAGTAATTAGCAGTGGGCAACACTACAGACATGTTTTCTAAAAACTTTGTTGGAGGCCAAAAGACAAACTTTGTTGGATCTGATCCGTTTTGCCTCTCTGTCGGTTGTTTCTATGCCTCTACAAGGCATGTACTACACATGTGGCTTGTAATACTAAAAATAAAGTCCACAAGGTCATGTCACATGGATACATGATGTAAAACTAATTACAAACTTTAGGTAGTGCATCTTCAATGGTAAACATATCTCAATGACAAATTGAAGATAAAAAACAGGCACAAAATTATCTATACAAGTTGACAAGACTTGCAGCCCATGAATCTCAGTCTCTGGGACAGACCGATAATTAGGCATAGGAAGCTCAAAAATGCTCCCAGCACATCAATAGAATGACTGAACAAGCATATATGACCTAACAAGAATCCAACAAGGAACATCTCCATAGCACTTGTTGATTACCCAGGCATGACAAAGAACACACCAGCTTGATCAGAAAACATGGTGGAGAATATCAAATAACTTCCAAATCTATTGTATACGTGCCTTCCAAAATCAATAAGAAAAAAATAGCTGGCACGCAAATAATACAGAAGCTAACAGCAATGGACTAAAGTTGGAGTTGCCAACAGAGATAAATCAAACAAATGCAACAGAAGAGCTTTAATCAACACAATACAAACAGTATAAAAGCATGCATGCGAGTGATGATTTGGTGATATGTGGGTAACACTAAGAGTATTCTCCAGATGCCAAATAAGAATATGGCACACAATGAAAGACATTGATTTGCCATCCACAGAGCTTAACATACAAAACATGATCAACTTTTCATGCTTGAGTTAATGAAAATATTATTTCAAACGATAAATTTGAATACTCAATTACTTCTTCTAAGTGTATCGACATATTTGACAATGTATGTAAAAAAAAAAGGAAAACTTTTCTCCAGATTAAAAGAAGGAGAAATATTTACGTCGAAGGAAAGTGTGATAAAAATATAGAACGAAACTACTACAGTAAATGAACAAGCAAGACTTCCGACAACGGATTGGAACAAAAAGCATAACAGAATTCAAAAGCACATAGAGATTCCAACACTGGAAGCAAGAGGAGCAGGAGGGAAAAGAAGGCGCAGATCAAAGCGGTCGAATGTTTCACGTACCACCTCCAAAACCCTTCTCTTCTTGAACTTCATCACGAAATTCGCATCGCCAGGACCAAGCGCACCTCAAGAAACCCGTCAAAACCCCCGGACGGACGCGGAATACGCCCGAATCCAGCGCCCGATCGCGGCGGGCCGGCGTATTCGCCGCGCAATTCGGATCGAGGGGAAAAGATACCCACGCACGGCGACGGCGATCGGACGAGGAGGTAGCCAAGGCGGCAGCGGATAGCCTCAGAGCGCTCAACTCTGGCGACGAACCGCGTCACGATTAGGGTTTCGGTCGCCCCCCGATGCGATCAGGGTTAGACGAGAGCGAGAGGGGGGAAGGGAAGAGAGCCGAGAGAGCGGTGATGAAACCACGGAAGTATTTATATATACCCATAGTTTTTAAAGAAATTATATAAAGTCCAAATTACACATATATCCCTCTCAATAATTAAGCTATTTATCGACGCAAAACTTACACTAAATATCATCAATAAACATTAACTATAGTTACGTAATTAATCTGAGAAATTACAATGACAAATATGTTATTTTAAACATTTTGAAAGGTTATATAAGTAAATATATAAATAAGATCTTAAGAAGTAACCCGTCTCCTTTAAATCAGCACCAAAATGATAGAGAGAGAGAGAAAGCGTGTGTTGTTTGCTTGAGATTGAAGTCATGGAGATATTTGATGTTAAAGACTTGAGAACAAATCAATGGCTATCCTTATGAATGGTCCAATGAAGGGATATCCACACATGGAATGATTTAAATACTAATCTAATCATTAATTAACACCAAGTAAGTTGTTATCATTTGACCACACCAAAAACGTTGATTAGAGATTTTAAGTACCCATGAATCATGGAATTATTTAATTTTAATAATTTGGATTGCAAAAACTTCAAAAAGAAAAAGATCAAAACAATCTTCAAACTCACTCTTTTGTTTACCTGATCTAAGATAACTTTGATTGGTTAGTTTGGTCACATTAGAATAAAATTACCCTAATTTTCAACTTATTGATCATATGCATTTTTGAAAAGTGATGGATAAATGAGGCAAATTTCTCTCTCTCTCTCTCTCTCTCTCTCTCTCTCTCTCTCTC